TATATATTATTAATGTAAGCACAGATAGTATAAGGCTTTTCCTAGATTAATACTACTTAAACATATCTTAGTATTGAAGGAATTAATTTAAAATTAGAAAATTGCTTATTGTTGCACAATTTTTCAAACTATTTAAGGGTAAGATATTTTATGTATTTTCAACAATTTTATGAATTTATACACATTAAATTATTAAATCATTAAACTATAAAATCTTGCATTGATAACATTGACTTGATTGAAATTCATTTTAAGTGCTATAAATAACATTCAGAGATAATTTTATCTTTATTATGATATTTGAAATCTGAGTGAAATAATTTAGTGACAAAATCTATAATCAGTCCATAAGTAGTCGAGAAATTTCAATTTATTTATGAAGAGGGGGTACAAAATAAGATTTATACTTCTGAAAGTCATTTTTATATCATTCCTAAAATTTCACAGGAATATGTTTTTAAAAAAATAATAAATAACGTCTAACAACATACATTCCTGATTAAAATTGTATGGTGAGGGTAATTCGAAAGTTTATTATAGTATATTAAATTCTATCCAATTAATTATAAAATGTTACAGGAATTTTAAAAAAACAAAATGATGTCTGACAACATACATTCCTGATTAAAATTGTATGGTGAGGGAAATTCGAAACTTTAATTATAGTATATTAAATTCTATCCAATTAATTATAAAATGCTACAGGAATATGTTTAAAAAAACAAAATAATGTCTGACAATATACATTCCAGATTAAAATTGTAGGGTGTGGGAAATTCGAAAGTTTATTACATTATATTAAATTCTATCCAATTAATTATAATAATTAATTAACAATAAATTTAAAAAAAATTGCAAACGATATCTTTGTTTTTTGAAATAATTCAAGACAGGAAAAAATTAAACGCAAAAAACTAAAATGAAAATGTGAAATAAAAAATATAATAAACTTGAATAAAAAGTAAAAATAAAAAATGATAATAATGAAAAAACCGTAGTTGAAAACTAGCTTTCCGCTTTTATGAGGTCAACCAAACTTTAGTGGAGAGAGCCCAGAAGAGGGTAGGGTGGGAGGCGGCGCCTCGACCCCTGTTTTGTCCAATAGTAGGGCAGCCGGCCAACCCCGCCATATTCCCTGCCTCCTTTATAAAATCGATATTCTTGATGTGATGAGGAATACTCACACTATAGCAATGCTCCCCATCCTATCATTCCTATCTCTTTTCCTCGACCCCTGTATATTTCTGTCAACAGGGGTATTCTTTTTGGTTCGGCGATTGGTATTACGCTACTTAAAAACCCATCGCCTTAGTTATGAACCTCCGAAAGGACCCTCGGGTAAAATGCATCATAGAATGATATACGGGTACCTCAATGAAATTGGAAAATATGGACATATGCAATTTGCAGAATTGGCGAAACAATACGGACCCATTTACGAAATTCGCTTGGGACAAAAAAGAGTGGTTGTGTTAAATGAGTATAACCTCATCAGGCAAGCATTTCGGTTAGAAGCTTTCTCAGGTCGACCGGACACTGCATTAACGGAATTGCTAAAAGGACGGGGTGAGTTCTCTTTCTATCTGTATTAAGATTGTGATATTCTAATTTTTTAAAATAAAACTGTCGACTATATTTTAAAAATGCAACGTTGGAACGCTTACGGCGATCATTATCAGCCATGGTAAATTACGAACGATTTAAAATTGCGAGTATAATTAAAAACAATCATTTTTTTTTAATACGACAAAATCGAGAGAGTGGATCAATTTCATTTCGATAACAAAAATACAGATCAATGAAAAAACGGAATAAAAAAAAAGATGTAAATCAGTAGAGTTAGAAAAATATTGCAATATTTCGCGAAACATTGCTATTTAAATTCCGATATTGCCTAGCATTACTGCATATAAAATAGTTTGCATTTTTTTTTTACATGGTATAACACAAATGATGTGAGTTATCACGAGTTTACCTAGATATTATCGCACATGATTGCGGAATTATTGCAAATTTAGCAAAGTTAAATTCTCAATTTAAAGGCTATTTCGTGTTAAAAATTCTTCAAAAAAAATAATGATATTTGTTCATTCATTGTTTCATTTTCATGAACTAGTACTTTGAAAAAATAAATCAAATCTAAGCTCTCTGAGAAAAATATAAAAATAAAAATTGAGACTTGTGATCTATGAGTTAATGAGTTTACTTACAATAATATAATTTTATTAAAACGCAAACTTTCCCTGTAGTCAGCGTAAATGCAATATTTTTATGCATTTTAATTCGAAATTATGAATTTTACTTCAATTTCAATATGTATTACCCCAACAATATCGTTTTCACCTTCTTTTTTTTTAAGTGTAATTTTTTAAACTGTAATATTAAAAAAATCCCTGACTTATATGCAGAAAAGTAAGTTAGAATTGGATTTAAGTTTCATGTTGACATGTAGTTATTTTTATGTAGGTATTATAAATTCAACTGGACCATTATGGGAAGAGCAGAGAAATTTTTTGCACAGTATGTTGAGGAATTTCGGTGCCAAAAATTCAGGCAAAAACAGAATTCCAATGGAGAGAAATATACAGGTATGTGGTTTTTTTTATTTTGTATTAATTTTACAATATTCAGAAATAACTTTAGATATACGTACGAATCCCCGTGTTATGAAATATAAAAAAATATTTTTTTTTCTTTTTTTTAAATTGAAATTTCGTAAGATGGAGTAAAAGAATTTTGTTGATTTTCATTGTTAAATATTTCATTACAAAATAACAGTCGACTGATAAAATTTATAATTATTCTCTGAAAATGTTTGCATTAAAACGAATACCTTCTGCAAATCCAAATAAATCTTATTGCAAAAGATATTTTTAAAAAATCAAGTATTAATTAACATAAAGCAATTATTTGTGTGTGATTAAAATGATTGTTTTCATTTGGAAATTTATAAAATGAAAACTGAGTTCAATTTCCCACCCTATCCAGAGCAAATTTCTCGTCTGCAATCTGAGAACCGAAAAAAAAAAATTTTTAATTATGTATTACAATTATTAATTTTAAAAATAAATTAAGCTATTCATTTGAAGTGATTATTTAACTTCACAGATTATTATTTTTTTTCTTAGAATTATATGAGAGGAACACTTTCTAAACACAATATTTCTTTTCTGTAAATTTAATTAAAATTAAGTAAAAAAATGTTCTAAACCAATAAGGGCATTTAAAAAAAAAGTAAATTTTCAAGTCTCTGAAAAACACGTCATTAAAAATCCACGAGGTATTTAAATTAAATTAATCTTAAAAACATTTTAAATAACGTTCTTAAGCAAATTAAATGTGTCTGAAAAACGCGACTCTAAAAAACATTATTTTCTCTTAATTTGATATTGGTGTTCAGAATATGTAATTCTCTTAATCACTATAATCTCGTGAAGTGGAGACGTGAGTTAATTCCTTTGGGGCCTAGAGTCTAGGGCGTGTATAGGGAGGAAATCTCTTCCGCATCTCTGTGTACCTATTCACCATAATACGCGTGCTTCAGGGTTTTTTTTCTTTCTTTTTTTTTATTCATCGTATGAAGAGGTGGAGGAGAGAAGCAGCATGAATATAAAAAAGGTACCCTCTTCAGAGAGATGGAATGACGTAAGGAAGGAAGGAAGGAGGAAGCGGGTCTTCAGGGAAATAGGGGAAAGTGTTACAGTGAGGTGTCCCACTGTTGAAGGCGGAAGGAACTAGATCAAGGACGAATAAGAGTTCAACGACCTCTGACAGTCGATGATTTGGGTACGATCCTATCGTGAATAATTCTCGATGATTTCACTTCCCCCAATTCACATTTTTTTTATTTAGTTTAAAAGGCAAAATGCATAGTTTTTCTGTTTATGATTCGTACGTACAAGAATCGAACAAAAAGGTGTTTTGTTCTTATTTGCACTAACTCTATGTGTAAGATATAAGAGGCATAAGAATATGTTCTATTCTTGCGTCTTTATAAAAATGCTTGGTTTATTAATTATTATAATGACATAATTCTAAAAATAATTAATTTTAGGATTTATGCCATTATTTAATACCTGGATTGCACGAAACTTTTTCACCTGAAGGCTACAGTTAATTGCAGCATCTTAGGGGGTGCAGTTTATTTACTACCTTACAGCACGCAACTTAAGTTTTTCTCGTTTCTCCTTCTGATGTAATAATTCAGCTCCACAAGAATCTCACTTTTTAAATAGTATAGCTTTCGATTGTTTTTCAAACATCGGATTGGTGAGAGCAACAAGATTCATTTGAATTAATGATTAAAAGCTTTTTTCAAAAATAGATCTGCAAGGCAAGGAGCAGATAAATTACTCTACAAAATTATACCTACTTAATTACGACATATTTACTCCGTGCTTGCATTAAAATCAATTTTAAATGTTATTATAATAACACGATTTTTTAGACATCGTGGATGAAACTCAATCAAAAAATAATTTTACCTTATGATACGATCATATTGATATTACGAAATAAGTCTGGTTCACTTTAACCTCGGTTGATCAAAGTCTTAGCGCATTGATCGATGGAGAAAAAAAATTATACCTACTTAATTAAAACATGCTCGATGCTCGGATTAAAATCAATTTTAAATGTTATTATAATAACACGATTTTTACATCGTGGATGAAACTAAATCAAAAAATGATTTTACCTTACCATACGATCGTATTGATATTACGAAATAAGTCCGGTTCACTTTAACATCAGTTGATCAAAGTCTTAGCGTATTTATCGATGAAAGAAAAAAATAACATTAAAAAAAAGTAAACAAGTAAAGCCATCTAATGAATACTTATTAGCGATTAATTCATTAATGCTAGCAGTATTTATAAAAAATATAATTGTTTTCTTTTCTTCTTACATTCTATAGAATCAAGTGGATGAATTTTTGTCTGAAATGTATGAAACAAGAGGTGCTCCTATTCGCATCCGGCCCAAACTTACAAGAGGCGTGAGTAATGTGGTTGGATTGATGCTTATGAACAAAACATTCGAAACCGCCACAGAAGATTTCCAACGTATGGTGTTACTGATCGAAGAAGGATTCACTCTTCTGACAACAGCCATTCCTGTCAACTATATTTCCTTTTTACGGTACATACCCTTCTGGAATCACGGTTACATTAAAATGAAGCAGAATAAAGCTGAAACGGAGGCATATTTCGCAAAGATTGTAGAGGAACACAAAAGGACATTCGATCCCAATAATATCAGAGATTTCATCGATGCCTTCCTTCTTGAAAAACAAAAGGCTGAGAATGAACAGAAAGAGAATTTTTTCACAGGTAATTATTTTCTTCTTACATAATTGAGTCACAAGCAAAACTGATTGTTAGTCTATTAGTCTTACTGCAGATAGCGTTAAATAAATTATCAATGCATTTATTTTGTTTCTAACTGGTAGACCTTAAAAAGCCTTTGAAATCAGCCGTTTTGTTCTTGCCATGCGCAATCAAACATTGAAATATCACAATTATTGCTGCTCTTATTTCCAAAATTGACTCAGGATATAAAAAGTTCAGACAAACGGTAGCTGGTTGCTTTGTAAACTGCTGCAAGGCTTTCGCATTGCTGACATAAAATATCCCCAGTGAAAAGCAGATAAAGGATTTAACATTTCTTGCTGGTCACTTCAATAGAAGTTTGTGGTTTAAACGATGATCCGCACGTAACTTAACTGTAGTTTAATATAATATCATTGTTGAAATCTTTTACAAAGGCGAGTTAACCCAGTTTTCTCATTCAAAATTACAAGGATACATACGAAAGGAAACTTTATTGCCTGTAATTCAGAGTAGGAATGTTTTACCTTTAATGGGGATAATGAAGTAAAATAGATGTTGCTTGCATTATCATTATTTTTTAATTTTGAATATCAACATGCTTTATTTATTGTTTGACCATTGTTGCAATTTAATACTGAAATTTGCATTTAACTTTTCTGCAAAATTATTTTGTTATGCGCTTTAAATTTGTTACTGCTCGTTGCTACTTTCATTTAAGAGAACTGCCAATTTCGTGTACGAGAAATTCTTTATTTACGATAAATAATTAAGTTTAAAAAGGATAAACACATGCATTTTTTCAGTTAAACTCAAAATACACCCTTATTTTACACAATTTATAAATTTATTAAACAGCAGCTTTTGAAAATTATTAGAATAGCGTAAAATGAAAATAAAACTTTACTAAGCTTTTTTAAAAATACATTATTTTTAGAATCGATAAAAAATTTCATTATTTATTCTTTAAATTAGTTTTTTTTTAAACTAAATGAAAGATATCAAAAATTGTTTGGGTTTTAAATTGTTTTACAGAATTAGTTTGAAAGTTGCGCAAATCTGAAATTAACAACTATGCATTCGTCTAAACCAATTACCTATGTCAGTTTATTTTAAGCTAAATATTGTTAGAAACTTCAAATCTCTCTTAAAGATTAAATTTTGAGAGGTACTAAAAATAATTAGCTTAATAAAACTAATTTGAGAGCTGAGTCGATGAAGTTTCTGACATTTTTATGAATTTAAACGAATTAGCTTTAGAGTTTATGCTTCAGCATTAGGGGAAAAAATTATCTCACATGTTTTCATTTCCTGTCCACAAGCTTCCAATGGGAAAAACCTAGAAATTCATTGAAACATTTCGCGTAATAGCGTTAAAACTCTGTTTGAATTTGCTTCTGAAACAGAGGCTGTATGTTCCCAAATGTACTTCTATTTCGGAAACACTCAATGATATCGTAATTTAAAGAGTTGGATAAGAATATTTTCCTTTCCAAAATGCCACATCTTTAATTGTGTGCTGTATTTTCAGAGAAACAGCTTCTTCAAGTGTTGGGAGACATTTACAGCGCAGGTTTAGAGACGGTTACTTCCACTTTGGAATGGACGATTGTCTTTCTTTTAAGGCATCCCGAAGTTCAAGAGCGTGTACATGAAGAGATTGATGATATTATAGGACAGGACAGAAAACCAGATTTGAGTGATATGTCTCACTTGCCTTATACTGAAGCCATGCTTTTGGAAGTGCAGAGGATAGCTACTGTTATTCCTCTCGGAAATCCACATGCCTGTATACAGTAAGTAGTTTTTAATATTATTTTAGGATTTAAGTCACAGACACTGAATGTTTAGAATGTGTCATGACTCAGAGATATATGAAATACATTGGAGCTGCATTGAAAGTAAAATACTTATCTTAACTTTAACAAAGAATCACATGGAGCATACCAAGTATTTTAATAGTGACATTCATTTGCAGAAAAATATTAATTCTTAGGACAGTTTATACCATTGAAAGCTTCTTCTGTGAAGAAATGAATTTCATGGTGGACAAGATCTGTTTTTTTCCAGAGTGGACCATCTATCTTCACCATGTCATAACTTTCTGGAAAAAAAGAAAAAAATTTTTTCCACCTTATTGATTTGTCAAAACTTAGTGATCCTCAAATTTCAACAGGTAGCCATAAAATCGCCATTTTTTGCCAAAAATAGTGATTGGATATAAACCATTATTTTTCCTTGATTTTTGATTAGCGTCGATAGAAATTTCTTATATTTTAAGCTTAGGTAGAATATATTTAAGATAGGAACTTTGTGAAGGGAAACCTGAAACCAGTATAAGAAACTATAGGTACTAAGCTATAGGTTTAGTAGAAAAAAAACCTGTGTCAGTTGATATGAGGTGAAATCATTTGAAAATATAAAACCAAAATGAGTAGATTTATAGGATGATGAATTAATTGTTTTTTTACCTCTTTAGTATTTGAGTACCGAAGACAGTATACGGATATGATGAACTTATTAAAAAATGGGCAAATTCGGTGTAGCACTTCATTGTATCATGTACTTACTTCATATGGATGGAAAACTGTTTTAAAAGTAAGCGATTTCAAATGGGGACTTTAAAGTGTAGCAAAGATTATTATTATTACTTTAATCTCTCCTTGGCTCCTGCTGCTTTGCAATAAGTTCTATTTAAATGCATGCACGGGAATTAGATTTCCCTCAAAATAATAAAAAGAGGATTTAGTCATTTTGGGATCTAAGTAATATATGTATTGCGTTTTTGATGAAGCACACCAGAAATGTTTTTAAAAAATCTTAGAATATTCTTATTATAATCAGGAAGACTTAGTCTAATGTTTTTTTTTTAACACTAATCATACCATAACGGGTCAAAAGACCCCTTTTTGTATGTTGTACTGTATTGTATTGAAAAGTGTTGGTATGTTTAGTGTTAATTAAGAAAAAATTACGTTAATTCTAATTTTGAAATACTATGAGAAATCCATATCATAATAACACTGTTTATGCTGTTTTCTAACAGTCATGCAAAATTCAATACTTTCTAATCCAATATGAAATAAATTAAAAAAACCTAATTTTTGATTTTTATTTTCTTGCAGAAATGCTAAACTAGGAGGTTATCTCATAGAAAAAGGTACACATGTTATGTCTAATCTGTGGGCTGTACATATGGATCCAAACCTTTGGGACAAGCCTGACGAATTCAACCCAGAGCGTTTCCTAGTGAATGATCGTGTAGTGAAACCACCTTATTTTATGCCATTTTCTGTCGGTAAGATATCTTGACATTATTATTTTTTTATGTGCTTGATTATATATTTGAACAAGGTATAGGGCGCAAACTTTTTAAAATGTAGGAATTCGTTTTATTATTTAAAATAACTCTTTCATCCATGGTAAAAAAAAAACAGAGCTTGTTTTCAAATTAGAACGCGAGACTTGTAGTTCCGCTTTTTTCTTCTCATTGAACTTCAAGTCATGCTGAAACTTTCAACACTTATCAACTTTAAAATAAGGTGTCGCCTTGAATTTGGAATATGTATATTTAAAATATTCTACTTAAATTTGAAGGAAGTTTGAAATTCGTAGCTTCAATTTATATATAATTAAATATATATATAATAATTAGTATTAATAATGAAAAAGAAATCAATATTAAAATTGAAAATATTATTATTATTTTTTTTTAAAGAAATGCGCGTTGTGGGAAATGGTGAACTTAAAATAAAGTTAAGATACTTTTAAGGAAGTAAATAAAAAAAATTTCAGATCAAAGTATAATATTTTCAGTTATATCAAAAATATTACTTATCCAAATTCGCTTTTTTTTTTTTTTTTTTTTTTTTTTTTTTTNTTCCAATTGAGCTGTAACAATTTTCATTTACTTTTTTACTAGCACAACAGCTCCAAAAAAAAAAAAGGAAAAAAATAATACAAAATGTTACAAATTTAATTTTAAATAATTATAGTCAATATGAAGATATATTTTTAAACTGAATGATTTAAAATGAATTTTAAACTGTAAAGCTCAAAAAATTAAATTTCTAAACTTAATTCCAAATGAATAATTCAAAAGAAACCTTATTAGTAAAGTTTGGAAAATATCAAGTAATATCTTCATGGCATGCAGAAAGTTTAATATAATTTCTTATATTTATTTTTGTAAAAATTAAATTTAAAATAAAAATACTGAAATAATTAGCTTATACAAATAACATTTTATCCGCATCATATTTGAACCGTATCTCTAGATTTAGCAAAGGCAATAAATCAATAACAATATTTATGTATAACTGAGAAAATAAGAGGAAAACATTATTTTCATTATTGATACCGAAGTTACCTACCGATTCGAATCTGTGCATTTCAATTCATTGTGATTCGTTCAGTTATAATACAAAAATTTTTTGTTTGTGGTGCTGCCATCTGTGAATTTGATTTCATACTAATTAAAATATAATAAAATCTGTAACATTATTTTTTAAATTTAATAATAATATAAAATATATTTGTTTCTTTCTCAGGTCGAAGGATGTGTGTGGGGGACACTTTAGCCAGAATGGAAATCTTTCTTTTTATGGTTTCTTTGCTTCAAAAATTCAAATTGTGTGTCCCAGAAGGGCATGACCCTCCTTCCCGAGATGGCAACTGTGGGATTTCATTCACAGCAAATCCATTCACTGTGTGTGTTATTCCCAGAAACTGATCATAAATGGTGAAATCCAATTCAATATATGCCAATTGTTTCATTGTAAATCATCGGTGAGTCAAGTATCAAGTCATTGTCATCGGCTACCTTTATTAGCTGTGAAAAGAGTAGTTTCGACAGCATAGTTAATTTGATGTGAAAATATTAACTGCCATCCAGAAGTGAATATGATCAAGTCATATTTGCTTCAAACATCTTAGCGATTTTAAGCAAATTTTAGTCAATAATTTATTTATTTTTGAATACTAAGTTTGTTTTTACTTAAGTGGAAGCACTTGTTCTAACTTAAGTAAATACTTATTTAATATATTATAACGAAGTAATATTTTAAATTTTCACTGATATCTTCCTTTTAACATTAGAGTTAGTATTCACATATTATAGCACTTTTAACAGGTGTGAATATATTTAATAATTCTTTAAAAAGATATTTATTTTGAGTGCAATCTTTAGATTCCAAGACCAATTTATTACTTTGATTGTTCGAAGCGTCCTAATTTCTTTCCTTTTTCGCCATTTATATATTAATAACTTTCTCAGAACCTTTAATCTTTTTCACCCAAAAGTCAGTAAATGACTTTCAAAAATTGATTAAATGTATAACAAAATTAACTAGTTCCTTTGGAGATTTTTGATGATTATTATTTAACCTTATACTTTTTGCCGAAAAAGATAAAAGGAGCAATAATTTTTAAAAAAAAAGTACGTGGTTTTATTTAGATTTTACAATGCTAATTCGTGACGCCTTATTATCAGAATGGATTATGTCTCGTAATTTTTTTGCTGTCCATAATTTTAAAATCAGTGAAAAATAAAGTTTTTCGATTTCGTAAGTTAATACAAATACAGGGTTATTCATAATTCCCTCCGGGGTCTCGAAGCGTTATGGTATAAGGACGAAGACGAATATGGTAAAAAAAAAAAAAACATGAAATTATTCCGAAAGTATTCAAGTTTTAATTTAAGCAGTTGCCGGTAGATGGCAGTAACATGAACCACTGAAGCCAGTTGTAGTAAAGAAAAATGGCGTTTACAGGTGTAGGGAATTATAAATAACCCTGTATTGGAATGAGTATTTTTTGAATACATAAATTAGTTATAAAAAATTGTGCCATTAGTTGAGACGTTGTGTAAAATAGTGGTGTAAGTCGGTTCCTATGTAATAATTCATAATTTTTTTTTTTTTAATGAGTGCCACTAATACGTGTTCAAATAAAAATCGCACAGTCAATACATTCTTAAATATAGTCAATACAGAGTTGACATGAGAAAAATATTTGAGTTATCCAGATGCAAAGCAACTTTTTTTTTTTTAATGATGCTACTTTTTTTAAACCTTATGATTAAATTTTGACTATTTTCTTTTTACATTTTAGGTGTAATTGAATATTTTAATGTAATTATCTTCCAAAAAAAAAAAAAAAAAAAAAAAAAAAAAAAAAANAAAAAAAAACGAAACGTTACATCATATACAATAGTTTCAATTTGAACATATTTGCTGATATTGTTTTCACAGCCGCGCGACATCTTCTGTGAGTTTATATTGCTTAAGCTTGTTATGCAAATATTATGATAATTGTAAAAACTTTTACTGTAAATGTACTAGAGAAGTTGTACAGATTAATACCAATGGAAAGCCTTCTTTGCTTCCACTATGACGTCAGAACCGGTTCTCAGTCATTTTTTCATCTGAATGCGTATTTTATAAACATTTGCATAGTGTGACAAATTGGCAAAGGTGTTATTGTGGCAAGTAAGATAACCATATTCGAATACTGGAGATGATTAAATATTTATACTCTTTTTATTTCGAATTGCATTTTCCAATCAATTTTATTAATCAAAACGTTGCATTTAGCTCAATGCTTCTGACAAAATTCGAATCCTCGAACAAATTAAAATAATAAATTCTTGAATTTGACAGAATGGGGGTTCGTTCGCCTCCGAAATCGTCTGGAGCATTTCGCGAGAGAATGTTTCAAAAACAAATAAAATTTTGTGAAATTTCTGCATCCTTTCTCCCATTTATATCATATTTTTCTTATTTGTCCAAAAATCAGCGAGCAAGTTTTGCAACTAGGTCCCTCATTTACTTTTTTCAACAACTCGAAATAAACAAAACTTCCTATACATGACTATAATTTGAATGTAGATTTTTTCGTTCCTTGACTAACGCCACTTTTTTACTCAACGGCTTAATCACAAAAAATCAATTTACAGTGATTCCAACTGTACAATTATTCATGTGTACGCACAAATACATCAGATAAAAACCATAATGTATATTTTGTAAATATTGACATTCTGCCAGAGCTTATGTACATTTTTATCATTTTCATTCAGAGAATTTTTTTCCATTAATATTTCTTTATGTTTCTAAATATATATATTTATCAATGGAACAATGAAATTCAGTTTGAATTTTATGCAAATGTGCTTGAGAAGTTAAATTCAAGCAATGCTGTCTTCCATATTTCAAACAATAAGGAAGGGGCTGAAAGTTTAACATGCCGACAGATCAGATATATTAAATATGAAAGGCTTGGGGCAGTAAAATTATAAAAACCTCATTTTTAAACTCTTAGTTCAGAAAAGCATTTTTGGCAACGAAAACAAACATGATTTTTATGTTGACAATAAGATGTTTCTGTAATTGTGCTGTTGTCTAGTGGAAATTCTGGAAACTTAAGTGCCTGTTTAGAAGAACAGTTTGGTGTAATGCTGAAAGTGTGGCTTATCACTTTCGCCCCAGAGCCTTAATTTGTCTAGAAAAACTCACGGTACCTTCCTTATTTGTATATTTATGTTTTGCTTTCACAAAAAGAGGTAAATATAATTATGTTCAAGCAAGTTAAAATCGAAGTAATGCATTGATTGAGATATTGAAACAATTGATATTTTGTGCCAATATTACTAGCCGCAACAATGTTTAAAAATAACAGTACAAATTTTAGTCACTGTTTTGAAGTCAGCTATTTAAATCAAAAGTGTTTAGTACAAAATTGTGAGCATGAATAAGTATTTCTTCCTTAACATGAAAGAAAGCTTTAAAATTGACATGGTGTCCTAATGAATTAAGTAAATAATAAATAAACAAAGAAAATGGAGATGAAAATGTAGCGTCTGCTGCGTTCTGCTTAAGTGACAAGATCATTTATTCTTTCCAAAATTTAAAATTAATAACAAATTTCGTCAATAGATGGAGAGACTATTCGAGAAAAATAACGCAATTATTTCAAAAATTACCAGCATTCATGTCAAACAACGTGGTGAAGTCTGGAAGCAAAATTAACTGACACCCATGCAAATATTTCAGTTGGAATTTACTGATATGCAATAGAAAATTTAGTTTCATAGGTTTTCTGTTCAACAAAAGTTTAGACAAAATTTGAGACAGTATACAAAAAATTGATTAACTTTGAAATTTAGATAATTATATCATAATTTCTTAGGCAGAACGTTCAAAATCGTACAAATCCAACTCCTTCTATTTTCTTTTCTTAAAAGGGATTTTTCAAACCATCGATCATTTTTGGGACACCCTGTAAAGCACTATTTATTCAATGCTTTAATCTTATTCATGACCACAATGATTTCAATATTGATTAAACCAGCAATGTGTTCATTCCCCGACACATCATGAAAATGATGTATTTATGTTCCTTACCAGCTTCTTGTGATAGCGCTTGCTTTTTTTGTAAATAATTTTTTATGAAAGTGTGTGTCCATAAATGTAGACAAACTTATATTTGAATAAAGAAAAAAAAAGCTTCGATTTATATAGAAATCTTGTTTAATTCATTTATTTCAAACACGCTTTGTAAATAATGATAACGAGCGCAGTAAAAACGATCAATTTAAGCAAATTTCATATAAAAGAAATGGACCCGAATGTTTTATTTTTTAGTCATTTGTGCTATAAGTTTTTACCAATACAAAAAGGGGCAATGCGGCCTCTGAAAGTCCATATTTATTAAAAATGGAGCTCTACAGGATGGAACAACGAGTTTTGAGAGTTAAACACTGTCGAGTCAGTCTCTGGTCATGTAATATCCTATTTTGATGATAAAAATTTATTTTCTTCATACTATTCCTCTTTTTTTTTCTTCTTTTTCTTTTAAATCTGAGATTTTTGTCTACAAGCCTTCAACTACTTATGCCTTGAAAGATGAACTTAAGCACTCTATAAAACAAATCCAATCACAATTATGCCAAAAGATTATTGACAAATTCGATAACAGAATGCGTTTGCTCAAGCGAAACTGTTAGGGCAATTTATTAAATATGTTATTCTACAGGTATATATAGACCTATATTCCATACTTTACTGAGAATCAAAGGTAAAAAAAGAAAGAAAGATAATTATAGACGACATGTAATTTCTATCGAAATTACCTCTTGCATGCATTTTGTGACTCCTTTTAGTTAATTTTAAGTTAATTTAATTTTTGTCATAAGTTACAAATTTAAACTTCGTTAAGAGATAGATTTTGAATGAATTCACATGAATTATTAGAGCAGTAAGCAGTGAGATTTTCAATGTTATTTGAGGAAGAAGAAGATCCTAAATCAAAATAAGCAAGTCAACCCATAAGTATTTATTATTTATAGATATGCATATACGATTATCGATGCGTAAGATGGTTAGAAATTTATATTTAAGCAAAGAGAAGAAACAAAAACGTTATCGAAATAATTCGTTAGACAGCATTTTCATTCTTTCTTGCTTAAAAATATTGATTTGCGACGCTTTATATGATTACTTTTTTGACAATGATTCAGATTTGAATCAATGAAGAGTGATCCTAACGGAACATTTATGTAATTGACGCATTAATTCATTTATGTAATTAATTTGTATACATGGGTGCAATATACAAATCATCAACAATTTTCAAATACAAACCGCCGGCTGCCGAAATATATTCCCGGTAGTAGATGAATCATGGGTTAGAGTTCCCTAAAAGGTTTTCCTTTCTGTGTTACACAGAAAATTACTTAAAAATTTCTCCACGAAGGCGAGTTTTTCCAAATGCCTGATTCAAGTTCTTTCGTGTTCTGAGCTTTGTTCAAAATTCATGGTTACGGGGTGGAGCACTGGTAATCGCAAATCCCAGATAAAATTCAACTCAATAAATTTAAAACAAAGAAAAATGTAGAATGGTGTAAACACAATGAAACCTCACGTTACGGACACTCCTATAAAACGGACGCCCCTCTTTATGAACATTTTTTTGAAATCCCTGTGAATAAACCATTATGTACCTTCTCCGAATTATATATATATATATATACACGGGCAAGCCTGCTTGGTGAAACCGAGCAAATTCAAGGCATAGTGTGCGTTTCTTGTTTTTCAGTGGCGCCATCTATGGCCAAGCATTCGACTTCTGGCACATATATATTAATATATCTATACATATGTTAAATTTCTTCATCGATTCTTTATGCATTTTAATTGTTGAGTCTAAATAAATATCAATGTAAACAATTTAAGACGTTAGCCTTCGCTATTAGTGTACCCTTCCCGTAAACGGACAACTTTTTCGGTCCTTATAGTGTCAGTTTAACCGAGGTTTCATTGTATTTCTAGTATAAAATGTAATTCTAGCTCTGAATTCCTTTATTTACTTTTTAGTATAATTTAATTAATCTTTTTTTTTTTTTTGCAGTTTAAACAAACTGCACTCATTTTGTACTTTTACCCTCGCGAAAAAAAAGATATCATGATTTGCGGTCATGTCATCCGTAGTACATGTATCAGAAAGGAACATAGATTAGTAGGATTTACGTTTCTAATAATAACCTTCTACAGTCATGAAATTAAAAATCATATCTATGATTAGGTTATCTCCAGACAGTGAGATTCCAACTAAACAGCTTCGCTAAACAAATGAAACATTTTATCACCATTACTTCTACTACTGCTTCAAAGATGCCAACTAAGCTGATTAGTAGTTGCCCCTGAGAAGAGACACCCACTTAATTTTGCTGAACTACTGAAATTGAATTAGATTATTATTTATCAGAAATATTCCAGGTAGATATCTAGAATTGAGTGAATAAGCGTGTGTCATATGATAATTAATTTGAAAGCGACTTAAAACATTTATTAAAATAGTCCATGGTTTGAATTTCATACGAATAGTTTTCAAATCCGTATCGTTACTATAAGTTAGCGATATAAATAATTTTAGCCTCTGTTTATGAATCGTTTAAGCCAATTTTGGGCTATAATGTGTAATTATAATAATATTCAAACTGAGAAATACTGAAATTTGAAAATGTGAATAAGTTCATGCCCGATCAAAGTAGAAAATTTTATACAGAGA